GCATCTCTAACACGGCATCGCGTTAAGATATTATTTTGAATAATAGCTCATTACAAAGAGGATGGAATGTTGATCACTTTCCACGCTTACAATATGGAGGCCTGAATTTCTTTTCTGAGATATTTTAATTCAAATGCAAAAACCCTTCAATTAGTCGACTCCAGCCGAATTTACTCAAATGAGCGTTACATATCTCAATGTGACTATTAAGTCTCATTCACTGAAAAAGTACAAAGCGAGCCTAAAGAAGTTTTCACTAAAAAAAAAAAAATAGAACTGGAGGATAAAATATAAAATATAAATGTCTATGGAATATTTATTTATTTTTTTATTATTTTTCCTTTACAATGGGAATACAATCAATAATATAAAATTATTGACATCTGTTGACAATATGGAAATTCAGTTATGAATAATTTGATGAACAGTTTAGAAAGTAATTCTATAAAAATAAATCTAAAAATTTATATTAATAAAAATACAAATTTATATTTAAGGGTTTTAAAGAGCGCTAGAAACGAATCACACTTGCTTTTTATTAAAATTTATTTGTTGTGCTTTACCAGGTTCCCTTAGATTTTCGTAATATATTATAAATTTGAATTCATTTAATACAATCGCCAATATATTTTTCTTAATACAAGAAACAAAAACAGATCGATTGATATATAATAACCTGGAAATTCTTATGGAATAATGGAGAGAAAATAATTTTAAACAATATGAAATTATATAAAATATTTTTTTATCCGATCCTAGTGTTGGAAGGAACCCTCGGACACGTTTTTTATATTTTTAAAAAATAACATGGAATAGTTAATAACATTACCTATTCAACAAGAAATAATGATGTTTAATCCACATATGTATGAGGTAAAGCGACGACAAATGGAATTAGACTTCCACAATATGCCTCAAGGCTAGGAGAGGATATTCAATTCTACCGAGGAAGTTTGAAATTTAAGATTGTGCATTAAGACGAAGTCGAAAAAGAAGTTGTCTGAATCTAGGCCAATTAAGTCTTAAATTATCAACTACTGAAGCCGAAAAAAGGTGATGGGTTCAGAACGGCGTTTAGAATTTTCAGTTCATCAATATATATATATATATTTTATGGTTTACTAAGCGTACTTTCTTTTCAACTTATGGAATAAAATGAATAAATTATTTACGAACTCGTCATTTCTATCTAATGCTCTCAAAGTATTCCTCCCTTTTTTGAGAAATTTAATCAGCATGTCGGGAGTAAAATTTTCAAATGATAAAGAATAAAAAAAAAAAAGGAAAAAGATTTATATCAAGAAGACTTCATAATGTTTTCTCTGTTTAACATTGCTAGTATCTATTGACCATTGAAGAGTGATTTCGAATATATAATTTAATGTGGTGTAGGTATGTCTAAAATAGGGCCTAGGTCGAGAAATCGTATCTTAAAGTTTTCCAGATACATATTCGTTATAAAAAATCAAAAAATAATGAAAAATAGATTTCTTTTATCATATTTAGTTAAGAGGATGCAAAGATAGGTATGTACCTACTCAAACCAATTTAGACCTTAGAGCTAGACAAATGGCAGTTAAGTAGAGAAAATTGGAATATATTTTTGTTAGGTGTTCAGAAGATGTAGCTATTGTGGTCAGGTATTATATTATGATTTATGAGAAAATCGGACGAATGCTTTATATTTCTATAGGATGAAGAGCTCGAAAATTACTTGGGCATAATCCACGATTCTAACTGTTAATAAATAGCATTGCTCTATACTATGTAAAACAGAATATTAAAATACAATGTAACAACCAATATGCATGGGAAAAATTAACGTAAAATGTACTCATAATATAATAAAATAAATTTTAAAGTAAAACTAAATTTTTCATAAAAAGTTATAAGCATGGGAACGATTATATTTAGAACCATCAAAAGTTAAACAACGATGTTGCCGATTTATCGACATAAATATGTCCTCTTTTTTAATTACAAATAGATAGAAATGAATATTTGGACTTTAAGCGTTAGCTTAATATTGGTCAATTCAGTAGTCTTATGTTCTAAATATATTATGCAAAAAAGTTTAATTAGTTTTATTACGAATTGTCTAAACATTATTATTATTTTTTTTTTAGTTTACATGACTTCATATCTATCAACCATTTACAAAATTAAACAAATGAAAGTATTTTATTCCGTAAATTCAGTCTGAAAGATTGTTTATTTTTCAATTAATTCGTTATAATAATGTTATGAAAATGGCATAAGTTTGGTACCTTATATTTTATTATCATATATGATCACATGCATTTTTAAACATTCTTGAATGTGGTCAGTGCACTTCAATCATTCATACAGTTGCATGATTTAATATTATTCAATAAAAGCGTTTTGACGAAGTGCAATAGATCTGTATCTGATGGAGGAGTTACAGAAATATTATAATGTGTTTTTCCCTACGAAATAAAAAAAATCTCAAATGTTTAGAAATTAGAATAGATGTGCTTTTATTAATTTATTGATGTGCTTAGATACACATATAATTAATAAATTAGATAATGCCTTTATATATGTATGAAACAGTTTTTTTTTCTTCAATGCTTGTCACCTTATGTGCTATGAAATGACTTATATTATATGCCTTTAGTATTCTACCCAACCTCTATATTTTTTGTTTTAACTGCAATGTTTTTGATTAGGCCATTATAGTCATGATTTCATAACTCATTGTATCATATGATCTTAGTAATATGTTGGTAAATTAATAGAGAGTAGACAAAAATGTTGCTTCCCATATGATTATAGAAAACTAAAAAAAAAAATTATATATACCTGAAATGTTAAATCGTCCACCCTTTAAGATACTTAGATTTCTGAACCACCGCGCTCTTAGATTTCATCCTACGTCCAGCAGTTTCTTGTTAAAAAGTAGCAAAACGGAGGAAAAAATCGAAAAACTCAGAAGAAAACTAAAGACAATGAAGGCACTGAAGTCAACTATAGAAGCAGGAAAGGACCAAATAAAACCTCAGGTTCTGAAGGAATCTTTAGATCATGTAAACAGCAAAATCAAGGATATCGAGGAAGCAATGGCATCGTTAGAGAAAGGGGGTTAATAAAGAAAAGGATAAAGAAAGTTTGTACCTGATGAAATGTAATAAAGTTTTTTGTCATTTATTGACGTCTTCCTCTAAAGTACCTTTAATTTGGTTTATTTTAAAAAAATAACTCTTTCTTATTGACAAGAACTATAAAAAATGGCTAAATAAAGCATGAAAACATATGATAATTGGAAACTGGAGAAAAAAGGAAAAATGTGTGTGTACATATAATATATCGTTGGGAAGCGGAGAATTTTAGAAAAAAAAAATATCTAATATAGAAAGCATAGGTAATGAAGAGTGACGAAAACCTATAAGTAATATTTTGTGATAACTAATATAATTTAACGGAAATCACATGTTTCCTAGAAAATTAAATGAAATTTACTATTTAAATGTTTTTTTTTGTCTTTAATTCTTCATCCGCACCTGTCATGGTAGTGACAATTAGCAGATTTGCTGTCAAGTTGAAAGTGGCATGATAGGTATGACGAAGAATGGAGCCCAGCAGCACCTCTTCCCTGGCCTTTTTACATCCTAAAATCAGGAAAGGAGATCTCTCATCCAGCTCCTTTTCAGTCGCCTCCTGATGAGCATTTCAGCCGTGGCCATGTCATTGATAAGTCCATTGGGATCTCCGTGTAGTTTAAGATGAAATCGGGATTAAAGAGTACGTATGTGCTGGTCAATGGTTGGATGTCTTAGGTCGGTATGTAAAGTCTTGTTGTTGACGTACCAGAGAGCTGCAGTTATTAGTCTTAAAATTTTAGATTGAAAGGATTGTAGTTTTTGTAAGTGAGTCTTTTTTGCTGAACCGTAAATTTGTGAGCATGTCCAAATGGGTTTGAGCAGGCAAGTGTATGTATTTTTTTTTTCTAAATTTTCAATTTTGATTTAGAAAACAGTGAGTATAGTATTTTCAGTCGCTTGTTCAAAGTCTTTCTTTTCATTTTTACGTGTGGGCCCCAGGTCTTCCTTCTGTCAAATATTAGTCCGAGGTAGCGTATAGAGTCCGTCTGAGGAATTGGATTGTTGCTGATATAAAATGGTGGGCATATTTCTCGTCGAAGCGTAAATGTTATGTGTTGTGATTTGTTATGATTTAATAATTAATCGTTAAATTATAAAAAAAAGTATTTAAAAGCCACCGAATCAAGCCTAACAAAACATTGTTTAAAAACAACAAGCATTGTTTAAAAAGTGTTTTCATTGCACTTGTTTGAAATAAGAAGTGAAATATAAAGATATTTCATGGATGTGTAAAACATATGCTTATAACCTTAAATAAATTTACTGTAGTTCAATAACTCTAGATCCGACGTTATGTTTAAATAATCAGGTATACATCGTCGATTTATTAAAAAAAAAATCTCTTTGTGAAATCAAAACATTGTACACTTACAATTAGTGTTACGACTTTTGACTTATCGGTGATATATTTAAAAACAAGTAACTTTATTTTCTCAAATGGTATGTTCTCTAATGGTAAAAAATAAGAATTTAAACACATGTAAAAAGTGATAGAAATTTATTAACTATAATTTTTACCATGTAGTGCAGTCATTACTTATTAATAATTAAATATATGTAATTTCAAATCTCTTTTAGTCTATAGAGCTCAAAGACTGGAGTTATATGATTCATATAGACTGATTATAAAATTTACATCTAAGGTTTTCATAGGCTACAATCGATAATATAAATAGAGGTTATGTTATTGTGACGGTCTTAATGAGTTTCTGTATTGATGAAAATTTAAAAATATGTTGTTTAGAGTTTAGCTGCATTAATTTATCCAGACAAGAATTTTTTTCGAAGTAGAACAGTAAGTGAAAGTTATGTGATGCGCGCACCAGATCTGTCTTTTGTTAACACACAGGGCTTCCATCGAGATGGTTTTCTTCATCTGGAGAATATGCAAATGAAAATAATTTCCCTACCCCTGCCTCTATTTATTGAAATATCAGAAACAGAAAAGCCTAAATTTTTCATTCGCTGAATATTTCTTTCAGTTAAAGGTAGAGATTTGGCTCTTCCCAAGTGATCGCATAAAAAAAAGAAATTGGGCCTATTTATTTATGCTAAATGCCTTGATTTAAAAAAAAAAAAAAAACTTGTGCTATCTTTGTGACTCACCTCAAATCTAACATTATTTGTTGACTGTTGTACAGAGAACATTTAAATTTGAGTAAATTGTATCATATGATCTTGGTAATATGTTGGTAAATTAATAGAGAATAGAAAAAATTTTGATTTCCATATGATTATAGAAAACGAGAAAAAAAAAAATATATATCTGAAATTTTTAATCGTACAACCTTCAAGATGCTTAGATTTCTGAACCACCGTGCTCTTAGATTTCGTCCTACATCAAGCGGTTTCTTGTTCAAAAGTAGCAACACGCAAGAACAACTTGAAGTACTCAGGAGAAAACTCAAGACAATGAAAGCACTAAAGGCAACTGTAGAAGCAGGAAAGGACCAAATAAAACCTCACGTTCTGCAGGACTCTTTAAATTATGTAAACAGCAAGATCAAAGATATCGAGGAAGCAATGGAATCGTTAGAGAAAAGGGATTAATGAAGAAAAGGATAAAGGAAGTGTGTACCTGATGAAATGCAATAAAGTTTTGTATTTAATTTTATTAAATATTCTCAAATGTACCGGTGATATTAAGATTTATTTATTTTTGTAATCATGCTCTTTGGCGATAAATATAGTAAACATTATATATTTACACTCCAATTTTATAAATATATATACATTTGCCTTTTTGACGATGGCGTACTTTGAATTTAAATATCTCAAATAGTTTTTGAGTTACTGTTTGTTATTCAATAAAAACGTGACCACCTTAAGTTGATATTTATGGTAGAAGAAAATTTTAATCACTAATTAGAGTAAAAAAAAGAGAACAAAAAAATATTAGATTAGCTGTTTTTGTTCCGCACCTCAACAACATCAATTTTATAAATGATAATACAAATCCCCTAATTTTTTTCAGATAACGGTAATATTTTAAAAATTAATTGATCCATTTTTAATATTGAAATAGTGTTTGCATCAACTATTAACCATTTATACTGTGTATTTAAAAAAAAAAAATACGTTGTGCGCTTAGATCAAACGATAGAAGCGAAAACATCAACAAGACGGAATTAATAACATGAAATATACATTTTTTTTTTTGGTTCTATATTCAGAGAGTATTACGTTTGCAATATGTACAATTATAATTATGTACAAAATATTTTTTTGTTCTAGATTCACAAAGCAATAACATTTACAATTTGAAATATTTTAATTGAAATGTTAAAAATAACTCATTATCATTTAGTTTTTCCTTTTTTGCCCCCCTCCCCTGACAAGGCGTCCCGTCAAGATATCTGTTGGTAAAGAACACCATGTCCATTTCATTTCAAAATGATTTAATAACTTTGTAAACAGTTGTAAAAATGTGACACCGCGTCCTTCACCTGCGGGGTACAAATTTAGTAACTAAGAAACAAATTTCAATACCGTAAGATGGAGGAACTTTGAGACAGCCGGTAAAATTTAGTTTGTGGTGATTCTACTACTTTGTTGCACACTACTCTTGAGGCAAAAACTTCATGAAAACAACAATTTTGAAAAAACTATGGAAATCAATAAAACCAAACTGCACATCGAGTATAGTGAACTAGGGTTCTCAAACTGGCGCAAGGTATTTGCGCTGTCCATGCTGACTGAGCCACAGTGTATCCATCATGGAATCACCACAAACTAAATTTTACTCGCTGTCCCAAAGTTATCCCATCTTACGGTAGACGAAAGTTATGGAACATTGGCTCCCTATAACAAATAAAAAAGTAGACATGGTGTTGTTTACCGACGAGGAACAGATATAATTTTGAATAGCCAATAACAAAGAGGATGGAATGCTCAATATTCTCCTTGCTTTCAAGCATGCAAATTCGATTTCTAAATTCTGAGTTATTTTGATTCAAATCCTAAAATTATTAGATTCGATGCGCATCAGCGTTATATAGTCAAGAGTACCTACTAAAGAAATCTTAACTACTAAAATAAAAATATATAAATGAAATTGCAGCTACATAAAAAATAAATATTTAACAACAATAGTATAAAAATAAACAGTCATATCAAAAGGTCAATTGTACTCACCATGGCAAACATCCAATAATTGGTCTAAAAGCATGATGTTGCTCTGGATGTTATATACCTTAATTTATTATAACTTGAATTAGAACCTGACGATGGAGCACATTAGATTTAAGGTAATTACAAATTTAATGTAACAACCCAATTCTGACATGTATTGTAACATGAACTATATTTCAACTCAATTTTTTTGGCCATGTATCAACAAAAAATCATTGGGATTGTAGTTCTGAAGATGGGAGTAAATATCCCGAAACGTTAACATGTAAGCATGTAATGTGGAAATACAACAAATAAATTCAGTTCTTGTTTAATTGTAAGTCATCATTGCCAAATAACAAAGAAGATATAAATGATGTTAAGAGTCTTTAATACATTGGAACAACGTTCTGAGGTGTATGTCACTGCTCCTAAACCGGAACCCCTCAACAGTTCTTTATAACTTCCCATGATTTGTGAGAGTGGAGAAACACTTTCTTAATAAAGAAGTTTTCCTTAGCGACTATATCAGTAACCAGCGGGGACATAACCATTATGTTAGGATTTGTAGCGCTAATATCAATGACATAACCACCGAAATGGCCATCAACTGGATTGGTGACTTTCCACTGGAAGGTGATATGGGAAATATTATGCTCGGTTATTTTTATGTTATTATTCTATAAAAAACAACTGTCCATACCTGGTTGCAGGTATATTTCAATTATATTCTTTTGAAGAAGTACCTAAATACCTAAAGAAATATCTAAAAAGTCGTTGCATAAGTACGTTTTTTTCTTTATTTTTTGTTCCAATCAATTGACCGATTAAATTTGTTTTAAAAAAAAAATGGGTTTCTTTATTGTAAATTTTTCTTTTGGTATTTTGTGTGTTACGTATTTTTTGTTTTATCATCATTTTGGTTGAATGTTGTATTTTGTAAGCGACTGTACAAAATTAAGGACGTATTTAAAAATAATTATATACCAGAAATCAAAGTTGGATATTTGGAAATCAATACAAAACACACAATAACCTCATTAGATAAGAAAAATATAATTTACAAATTAAACTGTCAAAATTGCTCCAAAATTTACATTGGAGAAACATATAAAAAGTTAAGGACCAGAATTTCACAGCAAATTACCAACTGAAAAAATACAAAAAACATAAACGCCACATCTTTGGCACACCATAGCATAAAATTACAACACAGATTCAATTTCAATTATCCACAAACTTTAAGCACAGAACCAAAAAGCAACATTAGAAAATTACTTGAAGACATCCACATCACAAAAAACATTAGAACAACAGTAAATTACAAAACAGACACCAAACATTCGGGAACACACTATACAAATATCTTAAATAAAATTAAAGTAAATTGTATAGTAAAATTGGAATACAGCTATATAAGAAACAGTCTTTGAATAAAAATAGCAAACGAGAAAATAATCAGACCGAAAGGTCAATATTATCCCCTATTGCAGACACCCAATTATTAGTTCTAGGAATATTGATGCTCCAGATAATATATTTTTATTATGTTTATAACAAATCATAACAAAGGAGCACATCAGACTTTAGGTAATTATAACATTTTATGTAACAACACAACTTTAACATGTATTGTAACATGCATTCTTTTTTTATCAGCTCTTTTCTACCCATAAATCGCTATGAAAGCATTGGATTTTAAGTTTTGAAGATGGGAATAATTTTTCTGAAACGTCAACTTATATTTTATACCAACAAATAAAGCAATTGTTTGTATAACTTGAAGTTTTCATTGCCGAAATTAGATTAATAGAAATTGATTATACCGCTAAAATATCACTAAAAAATAAATTTTTTAACTATCAATTTATACAAAACAAAATAATAAATATTCAAAATCTATTGGTGAGCCAAACTTATATTTTAGGTTTATAGACAAAGATTTCTTATGATTATCTCCATCCATTTAATAAGATTTTGAACTAATTAATAAATATGCATTGAACTGGTATAATGAATATAATGGTTTCAAGAAAAAAGTATGTTTGATCTGCAAGCTTATTATTGTCCATATTGCAAAAAAAAAAAATCATAATGCGTGATACATTCCACTACCTTTTCTACTAACATTTTAATATATACTACTTATCATAATATGACGTAGAGAACTTATTTCATATACATTTATAATATGCTTGTAATGATTTTTATTTGGTCGTTATCTTTTCTTTTCTTAGCACCGATGACTTCAGTCAGAAAAGTGAGCAAAATAAACGTTTTTACTTTATTTTTATATCATATGTAAATGGTGGTTTCAGACCATTGGTCAGGGTAGCTGAACTGTCTTTGTGTTCATTTAATACTTATCAAGGAAACGAGCGTCTACTTATATTGTCATGAAGAAGGCTAGACATTCTCACCCCAACGGTTTGGAAGTTTTTGATGACTTCAACTAAATTCCCAACAAGAGGGGAAAAATATTACTTCCGTGTAATACCAATAACATTTTACTCTGAAGAATGGTTCATCGAAAGGTTTTCCCTGGAGCGATATTCACTTATCATTTCCATCAGGCAGGGGAGAGAATTGGATTCCATGGATATCGAAGGGATAATACGAACTGGGAGATCGAAAATTCTCAACATTGTCACATATCATTTGAGGGCGTGGTGGTGAATTGAGATTCGGTCCAAACGTTTGCCAACTGCTTATATCTCGAACGATATCCAACCAAACGGCAATAGTTGACAGTTTGCTCTATCACTGGATTGATATTACGAACGTACTCTTCGGTCAGTGACACAGTGCTGCAGATGCGATATGAATATATGGCAGGGATTATCATGTTCTAAGGATGATCGACATGGGATATAAAAAAAAATAATATGTAATCATATTAATGTTTATGCGATATAGTTTTATCGATTATAGTTAAAGCTCCGTGAAGAAAAAATACCAAAAAAACGAATAATAAAAAGGCCAGAATAGGGAGACGATATGGATTTGGAAGATGTGGAAAAAAAACCAAATATCAACACAAGGGTAATATTACATTTAAACATCAATTTAAACCAACGAAGAAACAATAATAGAAAGAGCGGAAGTGAGTCAGTATGTGTACATGCGTGAGAATGAGAAAAAGAACAACTAGATAACACAAATGTTAATTACGATAAAAAATCCAATTTCGTTAATTATAAACATAAAAGGTGTAATTTAAGTTTTAAAATGTTTAATTTCATACAAAATTAAATTTTAATTATTTTAAATTTCATCCTAATTCGTGATAATGAATTGTTTTAATAGATTTCATGGCAACAAAAAAAAAAATAAATAAAATTTATTGAACTAGGATTGAATCTATAGTTATAATATGACATTGAAATTCATGCAACGAATTATATTATTTGTAACGTTACATAATATTTGAAATTAAAACATATTTGCTTGTTATTTAAGTATTGGTTCTAAAAATCTACCTTTAAATTTATTTTTTTTGTTGGAAATATTAAAAAACTTATTACTAGTTTTATTACGAAATAACTTATTAACTATTGCAACTCTATTTGCTATAATTTCGTTTGATGAAGTCGGTAATGATAAGATAATAATAACATGAAATGTACTTTTATTTTACAAATTATAATTTGTATTTTAAACACAAATAATTATCTGTGTTAAAATATATAAAACATGTCAATCGTTGATCAATG